CCTTGAAGATGATTTTTTTCCAAAAGAGAATCTAAGATTGTAGTTTTCGATTGAACAAGAGACCGTAAAGCACATCAAAATGTTTGTAATCTTTTATGAACACATTTATTTTAGTTGCCAACAGTGTTACTTTGATTTATCTTTCTTTTTATTGTAAACATAATGGTGTCCATGTATTTTTAATGAATATTATAAAGAATGGGGACGTTTCCTTTTCAGGAAAGGGCTCGAAGATTATTGGAAATAAATTAAGGAAATTATTAAGAAATGTCATTCCTGTTATTTACTCTTGCCTCTGATGGCGAGAAAGGCTGTCCTTTTGAGACAATTTCGGTGATTTTTGAATGTTTCCCCTAAATTTCACTCACTTTCCACTTGCCAGTGGGTTAATTACTACCTGCTGTCCTGGAGACAGTTGAGTATATGGCAGGGTGGGAGGGATAACACAGGCCACTTGGACACTTGCAGTGGCCTTGGTGACAGTGCAGGGTGAGGGGCTGCTGGGCCCGCCGTGCCTGAGCTAAAGGAAAAGAAATATTGTCAACCACCGCCTTGTATGAAAATGACATCATCACACCAGAGGAGCAGTTAGGGGCCAAGCTGCTCAAGTTACCTGACCACAGCCAGCATGACGCATCGCCATTCTCGTAAGGTTAACACACTTCTCCCAAATCTGAGTGCGTCGAAGCACCCATGCCTGCTGGGCCCCATCTTGATCTGGAGCCTCCAGTCAGAAGGAGTAGAAGTCCCCCCGCCTTCCCCAGCTTCCAGGGGTGTGGACAGTCGAGGGACTGGGCACCTACCTCTCTAGCAGCTGCCAGATGGGCCCCTGCCAGAATTAGGACAGGGCTCGGGCACCTGGTTTCCACGCCTCTTGCAGAAAAGCAAAGGGGGCTGTGCCAGGCTTGCTTCCCCCTGACCCCTGTACAGCGCCAGCAGGGCCGGGCCCTCAGCCCGTCTCTAGGGAACGCTGTACAGCTCCTCCGATGTCCCACCTTGTATTTGTCACTCACTCTCGCATTCTCCAAACGCTTTTGCCAGCACTCCCCTCGAATCTGGGCTGGCGATCTCTCTTGATTCCTACCCTCAGTGGCAATACATGAGGGTATTCATGTGTAGGGTATTCATGTATAGGGTATTCATGTATAGGCTCTCTACTTGTTCAAAATAAGCGGACTGTGGCACAGCCCATCCCCGCAGACCCCCCTCCAGGGCCATGGCAGTCTGATTTGCCGTCTAATTCAATTGCCAATGTTTGGATCAATTAAACATCAGAGTTGAGCTGTACCGTTGATTCTACAAGGTCGTGACCATATCAGGAAGCCAGGAGTCAATCCAATAAGTCATTGTTCCAAACAAGCCTCGCAGAGCAAATCCAGGCTGCAGACAGCACCAGTTTCTTAATTGTTACCACATACCTACATGTCTCGCTTGGAGGTGAGCTCTCACGTTCTGGCTTTAGCTGCCCCGTTTGACTGGGAGAATCTTACCTTCCCACATTCAGCACATGTGTGACAGTGTGTGCCAGACTCTGGTCTACCTAGTGATTTTGCCCAGCCAGTTACCGTCATCTTCTTGTCACCCACAGTCAGACGCCAACATCCAAACGGTGGCTGATACGCATTGGGCACGTGCTGTGAGCCAGGCCCTGTTCTAGGCACTTTACCTAAATTAACTCAGCTAACCCTCCTAAGATCCCTTTTAAGGATCAGGATACCGAGGAACAGAGAGGTTACAGCATCTGTTCCCAGTCACACAGCTAGAAGTGCCAGAGCTGGGATTAGAATTCAGACCAGAGCCAGGCCCCTGCTCTCAGCTTCCTACTGTCAGTGGGAGCTGTCTTGAGTGTCCACCCCACAGGATTGTTATTTGGATTAAGCGAGTTAATGCAGAAAAAGCTTTGCATGGTACCGAGCATAGCAAACACCAAATGTTTGCATTATTATTTTTTTATTCTATCCTACTTCAGTGAGTGCGTGGTTATTGTATAATATTTAGTAATGATGTGATTATATGGTTGGTAATTTGCGTGGAAGAATTCATCTAATAGTTTCATAAATGAATTCAGCCATGAGTTTATTGAATCATTAAAGGGTTGAAGGGGTAGCTTAAATGTTTCCTCTGCTTCTCAGCATTTTATGGCAATTTCGTGCTACCAAAGGATTTGTGCGTTGCGTGTGTGCAGAGGTGTCGGATGGATCCTTTGTGAATGTCGAGCTGTATGGTGGGAGTCAGCTCGGAGAGCTGAACGGGGAGGACCTAAGTCTGCGTGGTCAGGGGCAGAGATGGCATAATCAGCTCTCTGATGAGCTTACACCGTGTCTGGACACTGGGAGACCAGGCTTCCCGGGCATAAGGATCAGCATATGCAGAGACCCAAGATGCGAAACGTGTACTTTGGGCATGGCTAGAGCATGGGTCAGGTGGAGTGAGAGGCCGGGGGCAGAGGATCTGCGAGGGAGGCCAAGGGGCAGGGCTGTTAGGGTGGGTCTCCCCCGTGCTTGTCTCCATGGGCATCTCAAAGCATCAGCTTCTCCAAGGCAGGGGTTTGTCTCTGGCGTTCACTGCTCTATTCCCCTTGCCTGGCATGGAGCCTGGCACGCGGTAGGCCCTCAGTCAGTGCTGATGACTTCGCGCATTCCTCTCTTGGGCGGGCTCTGTACTTGTGCGTGTGGTGGGGCTGGGATCATGGAAGGATGGGAGAGCACAGCTCTGAAGTCATCAGCTCACAGCGGAGTAGCCTGGGGACTGTGGCTGGGTCCTGACCCACTTACTTTGTCTAGAAATAGGGAGAACCACGGCTGCCTCGAAGGGCAATGGGAGGATTAGAGAAACTTCTGCAATGCCCCTGCCCAGCGCCTGCGTGAAGGAGACACAGTGAAGGACGGCCACCAGGACTGGGTCTCAGTTAGTCTTGGTCCAGTTGACTTGAAGCTTGACCTGATTGTAGCCTTTCCAAAGGAAAAGGAACCTGGAATCTCCAGATTTGCCTTCATGCATTGCCTAGAAAGAATCCCTCCGTGGTCAGAGATCCCAGTGTGGGCAACGGTCACGCCACCGGGAAACTTGGCTTGTGCCTGCAGTTCTGGTGTCACCCTTTTGAATCTGCAAACAGCACACTGGATTGCTGAGGCCAATTCATCGATCCCTAAGGCCTCCAGACCTCCCGACAGACAAGCGTCTACCCTTGGCCTCGTGCGTGCTGGGCTCTGGGAGTCGCAAAAGTTGGTTCCTTGATCCAGCGGGAGGCGTCTGTAGCAGCACGTTTGCACACAGAGCTTTCACTTTATTCTCAACTGGATTTTTTTTAATGTTTTATCTCTTTTTTTTGACAGGCAGTTTTGCTGCTGTTGTTATTTTTAGCATTCATTAATTCACTGTAAATACAAATGAAGATACAGTGCAATTAATTTCTTTGCTAATCAAAATATTTGATCAAATGAAGCAATTTTTCAATTCTTAGAAGTAATTCTACTGTTCTTTAAAAGGAAGTAAAGGAATTCATTACTGAGTGTTTCTAATTAGGAGTTTTCGCTACCTGCTGTATTCTTATTCTGTATGAAGTTTGGGGATTTTTTTTTTTCCTCCTGTAAGGAATCATGGGAAAAACTGTATAATTGAATCCCTAAATATTCAGAGCAAAACTTAGTAGAAGAATCATGAAGTCTGATTAGCTAATTATAACCTTCATAATAGTTAGACTGATATACTAACATGTTTCTAATCTGACAGCTGGAATGGACCTTGCTGGACCAGGTTGTCCCAGCCAGGTGACTGCCACCTTGGACACCCACAGGAGGAGTGTCACAAAGTCCCTTTGCAAAGTGCCCATCATCAAGGAACACTGACAGCCAAAAAGCCACCTTCTCTTCTCTGTACTCTGAGCTCAGTACCTTTTATTTCTCAGTAACTAGAAATTCAGAACTGAAGTGGTCAGCTATCGCCGTGTAACAAACAACCATGGAACCTCCAGGACTGTGAGCATTCGTTCGGCTCTTGCTTGTGGGCTGGCTCGTCTCTGGTGGCCTGACTGGGATATCTCTGCTCCTTGGACCAGAGTGAGGTCACGTGGGCTCCTCTCAAGGCAGCACGACAGACACAGGAAGGCTTGCAGATCACACAAGCACTTTTTAATTCTTTGGTCACGTTGTACCTGCTAACGTTCCCTTGGCCAAAGCAGTCATATGGCTGAATCCAAAGCCACAAGATAGGGAAATATTCTCAGCTCTTCAGTGGGAGGAACCCCGGAGTCCCATGGCAAAGGATGTGGAGACAGGGGAGTTGAGGAAATGGGCCTTGAATGCAGCATGCCACCAGTAAACAGATACACGGCGTGTCTCTGTCTCCAGCCCTACCAGATCATCTGACAGCTCAGCCCACCCCTCCACCCCTTCCCTACCACGTTCTCTCCTCCAGGTTACCTAGAGAAGTTGCTTAGGATACGATTTCATGGAAAATTGATTTTATAAGTCAGCCAAGAACGTGGCTGGACGTAACTTATTGACAGGACACTAGAAAGCTCTGTTATGGAATCATTCCCGTAACAGAGCTGTTGAAACAAGAGTACAATAAAACTGAATGTGAGCTAACAGAATTCCAGGGTCAGTGAACCCCCTGGGGCGCCCTGCCCTCTCTGGCTTGTTCTTGCCCCGGGCTCACTCTCTCAGCTTTGGGTTGGGGGTCACAAGTTTCTTACTTGGGGATCCCCCAAGCCCTTTCAAATATGAGTTCCCTGCAGCAGAGATGGGGTTAACTCGTCTTTATGGGGGACAGGTCGGTGCAGTGCCTTCCTGAGAGGACAGGATGCTCCCTGTTTGTCCCCTGTCTCCTGGGATGATTCTTGCGGGCAGCTCCCTCTCCCTCTGATTGGTATGGCTGTCACGACCTTACAGACTGAGAACCTTGGCCCAGGGAGGTGAGGTGACTGCTTGAGATCCATCCAGGAGATGGCAGGGCTCTAGCCTAGCCGTCCTGGATCTGAGCCCCCGCTCCACCTGCAGGGCCCGAAGCAGCTGGTCAGGAGCCCGGGTCCTGTGGAGGGCCCTCCTCGAGGTGCGTGACCACGTCTCAGACCTGGCTTCCCTCCCCAGCAGGCTGGTTTGACCTGCAGGCAACAGCGGGCGCCACGTGCCTCTGCCCTCTGATGACCCACCATAGAGCCGGTGTGGGCCAGAAACCAGGACTCAGCCCAGGTCTGCCCAACCTCTCGACTCAGGCAAAGATGTCTATTAAAACAACCGGCAGGAACAGCAAGAACGGCCGCCCGTGTTTGCCGGGCATTGGGCAAAGCACTGCGAGGGTTATTTTGTTGAGACCCCAGACCTGACCTTTGAGACGGTTCGGGTTTTATTCTCCTGAGGAAAGTGAGGCAGAGGGGAGTGCGTCTTGCCTGAGGTCACGAGAAAGAGCAGAACTGAGCTCCATTCAGCCCTGAGAAGCCCCAAAGCCCTCAGCTGACTGAGAGCTGTCCTCGCCCTCCAGGCCCGGCCCCTCCACTTGACCCGTCTGGCCCCTGGTCGACTTCTGCTGGGTCCCAGTCGGGCGGAGCTTGGCTTGCTGCTCCCTGGCTGTGCTCTCGAGGCCGGGTGGCTCTGCCCTTTCTTCACATTTGGTGTCAGGCACGGAATGGTGGTGGATCTGGCCTGAGCCGCCAGGAGGATGGGACACAGGCTGGGGGTCCCAGCTCTGTGCCTGCAGGGCTCCCCCAGTTCTTCAGCCGACACTGTGCATGCTGGGAGACAGCCCAGTCTGGGTGGAAGGCGGCCTCAGAGACACTGGTCTGTGGGACACGAGGAGCCCTGAGCTGGGGCAGAAGGGGTGGGCTCAGGGTGAGTTCTGCACAGACCTCCCCCGGGCCCCTCCCACGCGGGCTTCCTCCCTCTGACCCCCCCCACTGGTTGGGGCGGCCTCTCGGGTGAGTCCAGGCAATGGCAGGATTCAGAACCCCTGGACTACACTGTAAAGCTTGCTTTTTACTAAATGAGATACGTGGCTACGTTTGAGCCTGAGAAAAACTCCATAAAATTGAGGTGTTATTAGTCAGCTCTTTGATGACGGTGTGCTCCATATGTTGGGACATTATTTCTTTTATGTATTTCGCCAACACTGTCGTGTCGTCACAAAGGGGACCAGGGATCTTCCTTTTGGGACAGTTGGCCCATACTTCTCTGCGACATCAAGAGGGACAATTGTTTAGTAAAACAAGGTTCCCTGAATACCCTTGAATAAATGAGAGAAGATACCTTCAAAACATGTAAATCATTCTCTAACTGGGTCAGACCCATAGTGCATAAGAGTCTACTTTTTTTTTTTTTTTTTTTTTTTTTTTTTAAAAGTCACCGGTGTGCGCAGTTGTCAGATGGGGGGCTGTGGGGAGGAGTGCTGAGGACGCAGGCCCAGCGTCTCCTGTTCCAAAGAATAGTGGGGACGGAAGTGGGCGCCTCTCCGTCTTGCAGCTGTGATTCCTATCCTGAGGGGACCTTTTATGTAAAGCATAGTTAGTTTTGGAAAGTGACATTTGCATCTGAAGATAGTGGTGTCTTTTCTGATTAGGAGAAACATTTCTTCTGGTTATAGAAAAAGCACTATTTTTCCCCATTCAGATATAACGATCACGTGAGAAGTGCCGGGGACACAAAAGCGCCAGACCAGGAGCCATCTGTTCTTCCTTGGCGTCTCCAGTCACTCAGAGCAAGGCTGGCGGTGGTGGCTGAGCGGCTTTGCAAAGAGCAGGATGGGAACCAGAATGTGGGCGCCTAACAGCCTCGAGCCCAAATGCCCTTGATGGGAGAGCCAGGAGGCCCTACCCTCCAGAGGCCAGAGGCTTCTCCGGGTGGCACGGGATGGGGAGCAGTGCGGCTGCGTCCCCTAGGGCCTGGGGACCTTCTGGTCAAGGGCTGGTCCCTTGTGCACAGAGGCGATGGCAGTGGTGCTGCTGGGGGCGGGGTAATTAGTGATCTTTGTTTTCAATTTGTGCCCTGTTTGTAGTTTTCTACAGTGAACATGCAATAATTATCTTTGCAAGCAGCAAAAGAATATCTCTAACTGGCAGCGAAACCACCTTTGTGACAAACATAGTCCCCTCCCTCTCCGTGTCCACAGCCTGGCCTCTGGCTGTGGCTTTGGGGATGTTGAGAAAAGCGCTGGGGGTGCAGGAAGCCGGCGCTGCTCTCCTGACCTTCCCGCCAGCTTGTCGAGTAAGGATAATAGTGCCCCGGGTGCCAGCTTTCAAGGATTTGCACCTATACCTCCTTCACCTCCTGGCTCAGTGGTTTCCTCCTCTGGAGGCTGTTTCCATCAGTTGTGTCAAGAGCACACGACCCATTATAATCTCTGCTCACCTGTGAGACTGGCCCTCATCTCTCTTCCCCCCAAGACCCTACCCGGGCAAAACTATTTAAGGATTATTTGTTACCTCTGTCTCCCCAGCAACTAGCGAGGAGCCTGGCACACAGCAGACGTTCCAGGGGTGTCTGTGGATGGCTCAATACAGTCATCTCGGGCGTGCGTTAAGTGTTCATCCTCTGCAAGTGCAGCGCGTGTGCGTGTGTCACACTCCCGGCAGGGGTGCTCGCCCTCCCCCCAGGGCTCTGGGATTCAGTGTGACCCGGGTGTCACTCTGATCCCTGCACAGGTGGAGAGCGGGCAGATTCACATCCAGGGCAGTCACACTGAGCAGGGCTCCCCGACCAGCCGTTCCTCCACGTCGCTCGCAAGCAGGCTATCCCGGCCCCCCAGCCTCAGGACCCCGACCCGTGGGGCAGGCAAGGCTCCCGGCTTGGGAGCCCCACCCAGTCATCTGCCCGGCTCTGCCCTCACTTATTCCTCATCCAGAGAACAAGCGTTAGTACTGGGGTGTGTATATATACACGTGTGTGCGCGCGTGTGTGCTCATGTGATCATTTGGACCCTTTTGTGGCCCCTTTCCACTTAGTGCACTGCAAACATTTTACCATATTGTTAAACTATTTCTTGAAACATTCTAAATAGCTGCACTGTCATCCATCTTCTAGAAATATCGTGTTTTATTTAACCATTCTCCTAATTTAGACATCTAAAGTGTTGCTAATTTTTTTTTAATTTTGTGAATTCCGTAAATAATACTGTAATGATCATAATTCCATGTTTATTTCCTCAAGGAAAGTCTTCAAAGGGTAGGTACCAAGTCAAAGGATAGGCACTTTCATGGCTCCAGATACCTTATTCCCCCTTTTCCAGCACTGATATCGTCAATCAAGAAATTTGCATTTCTTAGAAGAAAAAAGTGGAATCTCGTTTTCTTTTCCATTTTTTTTGCAGCATGACCAGGTCAGAGTTTTGGGGGTTTTTTTTTGTTGTTTTGTTTTGTTTTTTTTTTTTGCGGTACGCGGGCCTCTCACTGCTGTGGCCTCTCCCGTCGCGGAGCACAGGCTCCGGACGCGCAGGCTCAGCCGCCATGGCTCACGGGCCCAGCCGCTCCGCGGCACGTGGGATCTTCCCGGACCGGGGCAC